TAGGGTATGAGGAATATAACGCACTCCGCCCCAACCCCATCAAGTCTAATTGCCCACCTTCAGCGGGATCTTGAAAACCAGCCCCTGGAAAAGCATGAGATGCTGTGATGTTGCAGAAGCAGAGGACCAGGAGGCTGTGGCTTCAACACTTAATTAGACGTGAGCTTGGGCGAGTGGCTTACCTTCCTTAGGTCTCAGTTGCCTCACCTGTAAATTGAGCACACCCTGACACGCCTCAACCACCTCATAGGATTATAGTAAAGATTAAATCATCATCATCACAATAGCTTTTCTTTTTATATCACTTCCTAGGTGTCAGAAACTGTGCCAAATGCTTTAAAGACAGTGTCTTCATCCATCCCCACAATACCTCTGTGAGGCAGAACTAACATCAGTTCCAATTTACAGATGAGGGAATTGAGGTTTAGGGAGGGAAAATATCTTGTCCATAGCCAAAGGCTATCAAGTGAGCTGGTATTTGGTCTGTGGACCCAGCGTTCTGATTCCCTGGGCTGTACCTTCAGCTGTGTGACTGCCCTTGTAATTTAGGAGTAAAGCAACCACAGGTCCCCTCTGCGACTCTTGGTCTTGCAGCCACAGTGGCAGCACTTAGCAAGGTATAAGGAAGGACAGTTCCTCTCCCTTGGTCTCAGTAATGTGCTCCTGAGGGGTCAGCTTTCCCTTCCCAACTGCGTGCGTTGGTGAATGTCCTGTGTTGAATAGTGTGCCCCCAGTATTCATGTCTACTCAGAACCTGTGAATGTGATTTTATTTGGAAATAGGATCTTCACAGATGCAATCAAGTTAAAATGATTTTAACTCATACTGGATTAGGGTGGGCTTTAATCTGATGACTGGTGTCTTTATAAGAAGAGAGAAATTTCGACACAGAAATACAGACACAGAGGGAAGACAGCCACGTGAAGACGGAGGCAGAGATTGAAGTTATGCTTCCACAAGCCAAGGAACACTAAGAATTCTGGGAACCACCAGAAAGTAGAGACAAGAAAGGATTCTTCCCTAGAGGCTTCAGAGAGGATGGGGCTTCTGACACCTTAGTTTCAGATTTCTAGCCTCCAGAATTGACAGAATAAATTTCGGTTCTTTTAAGCCACCCAGTTTGTGGTACTCTGTTAAAGCAGCCCTAGGAAACTAACACAGTAACTTTACACTGTGCCCACCACAGCTGGGAGCCCGTAAGGGTGGGTGGAACAGAGTTTGGGAGACCAGTTAGATAAAATGGAGGGGGGAATGCCCATTTTGGGGGTCTGAGGTAGAGCAGTACCAAAATAAGGTGTTTGCTCATCCAGCTACTGACCCTTGTGTACATGGTGCCTGTGCAAGACTTTGCACATGTGTGTTTGTGTGTGAGTTGTGTCTGGGGAGTGTGTCTACAGCCCAGTTTTTTTCTTTATATGAGGAGGGGTGTTCCTCAGGTTTGTGACAACTTCAAAGGTGGGGATTCCATTTGAGAAGCTCCCCCCTACCCCGACTCCCACCTTTGGTCATCCTCTCCACCCTTACATCTCAGATGATGAAATTGTGCTTAGAGAATTGTGCTTAAAAAGCTTGCCTACGTTTTCACGCCAGTCAGTAAGAAAAGGAGATTTCAGATCCAGAACTCTGGGTCCAAAACCCTGTCCTTTTTGTGATCTCAAGTGCTTTTTCAAGCTAAGGAAAGTGAACTCTTTTCAGAAAGATATGAGTGATTCAGTTTACCTTTAATAAGCATTTTTTTCCTAAATTTGAAAGTAACACTAGCTTATTTGTAAAATATTTAGAAAATACTGAAATGTTTACAGAAAAAGTAAAAAATTATTCTGGTGATAACTACTGATAATATTGGCAATTTCTTTTCAGTCTTTTTTCCATGCAGATATATAGTGTCAACAAAATTAGAACAGTACTGTAAATAGTTTTGCATTTTGCTTTTGCATTTAACATCTCATGGACATTTTCTTACGTCATTATTTTTACAAACATAATTTTTAATTACTGAATAATGCTCCATCATACGGATGGGCCATAATTTGTCTTCTATTATTGAGTACTTGTTTCCAGCTTTTTACAACGATGAACATGCAACAGTTAACATTTCTCACAAATATTTGTCCTCATCTCTGGTATTTCTTGAAGACAGGGGATAGGGATATGAATATTCTAAGACATTTTATACATAATGCCAAATTGTTTACCAAAAAGGTTCTACCTACAGCAGAGTGGGAGTGCTTCACACGGCACCCTCACCAAGACTGGGTACTGTCATTAAAAAGCCCGGTATGTTCTGAAAAGGGGCATCCCATGATTCGATCACACAGGTGGCTGTGCGTCCCGCGGATCGCAGGGGGGCCACTTGGGGCTGGGAGACTAGTTAGGAGACGGTTGCGACGATCGCTATGGGACGTGACGGGAGCCTGAGGCTAAGCAGTAGGGATGAAGGGAACGGGAACACGCACGGCACTCGTAGAACATTCGATGCGCGGGATGGGGGTCGGTGCCGTTAAGATCACGCTGCGCTGCGGGGAGCGCAGGACAGAGCAGAAGCCGCGTGTCCGGCTCGGCCTCCTCCGCGCCGCGCTCTGCACCCACGGGTGAGGTTGGCCGAGGCGCGAACCCCTCCCACCCCTTTAACTGGGACACTCCCCTTTAAGGCGTGCGCCCGCGCGCACCCGGCCCCGCCCTTCGGGGGCGCGCGCGGCGGCCGCGGCGCCGGCTCCGCCGGGAGTGCACGTGCCGGCGCCGGGCGGAGAAGAGGGAGGCGGGAGCCGGGCCGCGGGAGGAGGGGAGGCGCCGGGGGCGCGCGCGCGCGCGCGCTGGGCGCTGCTGGGCTGCGGCGGCGGCGGCGGCGGCGGCGGCGGCGGCGGCGGCGGCGGTTACTATGGCGGAGTCGGCCGGAGCCTCCTCCTTCTTCCTCCTTGTT